AGAGGCCTCGTCACTGCTTGACGTAGCATCGCCATTGTCGTCAAGCTCCGCCGCCTCTCGGTACAGCCGCAGCGCAGCGAAGGTGCGCCCGGGCACAGCGTCCAGCTGGTACATCTCCACAGGCTCCGGCACCCCGCGCAGCGCCACCGCGCCCAGCGCAGTCACCTCCACCTCCTCCCGCTCTGCCGTGCTTAGCGCCATGTACGCCGCACGCGTCAGCAGCACCTGCCCGCCGTGCCCCACGCTCTCCGTGCGCGCCGCCATGTTCGCCGTGTCGCCGTAGTAGTCGTACCCCCCCGTCACCTCGTCGCGCCGGATGTCGCACAGCCCGGTGTGTACCCCAACACGCACCCGCAGACCGTTCCAGTGCTGCCGGTACACGGCGGCGTCCAGGCGCGCAGTCGGCGGCACGTACTCCTCTGCCTCTTCCTCCTCCTTTGCACGGCTCTCCTCGAACTTGCGGTACGCGGCGTCAAACGCACTCGTCTCCCAGGCCTGCTGCAGAAACACCTGCTGCAGCTCACGCACAAGCTGCACGGCGGCAAACACACTCTTGCACGCTATCATGAACGAGTCGCCGATCGTCTTCACCTCGTAGCAGCCGTACTTCGCGATCAGACCGCGGATCAGCCGGTGGTGCGTCGCCACGGCGTCAGGCATCGCCTCGGGAAGCGCGGACCACAGCGCCGTGCTGCTCTCGATGTCGGTGAACACAAGCGTCACGGGGTCTGTCGGCTCCTTCGGTGCATTCGCGTTGTCACGCGAGTCGTGGCAGCACCACAGCAGCACAGCCACCACAGCCGCAAGCAGCACAGCAGCAACAACGCCGCCAACGATAATGCTAATCAGCTGCTGCAATTTCAGTCCATGCGCAGCAGGCTCCGCGTACCGCATCGACGGGGTCACGGCGGGGAACAGCACGGGCACGGCGGGGTCCAGCGCACGGGCAAGCGACCACACAGAAATGCGCGTCGCCCCGTAGTTATTAGTGCACCCAGCACCGCCAGTGGCATCACACGCCGTGTCGTCAGTGAAGGATCCGTAGAGCATGTCGTTCACAGTGGCAGCGGTGTTCCTGTAGAAGAAGTCAACCAGCAGCTCAACAGTCACATTGTCCATGCGCGAGAGAACAGTCTGCAGCAGCCGCGTTGCAGCGAAGCCCGTCAGTGACAGCGGCGTCCGTC